CTTTACATACATCGTCTCATTTAAGTCCTCATTTACATCAACAAGGTAGATCCCTGAGTGCCAGTGATGGAACTAGCCCACAGTCACACAGCTGACATTTGAACTGAGTCCACATTCCTCCTGCATCCGTGCTCTGCAGTCAGCCACAGGATGATGGCCTCGGGGCCCCTCTCCTCTCCATGAACACTTCCTTTGCACTGAGAGTTAGATTTTTCTTTTATTTCAGCCTTCCTCGGGTGTGTCGACACGTGTCTATGTCTGAACCTCCATCCCCACTTGCTCATAGAATCTTCCTCCAGAGTAAGGAGTGGATTCTCCCAGGCTGGGAGGAAATGTATGAAAAGTAGTATTAAAGGTACATAAAACAAACGGGTTTAGAACAGACAAGATACCAAGTTGAACACAAATGGCAGGCCTTGATGGGAGGAATAGGGAGAGAAACTGACCAGGAGTCTCTGCAGAGTCAAGCCCGACAGTCCTGGGAAAGAGGAAATGACGCAGTTGCTTCTCACACGTGGAACAAGTTCTAGGGCTTTTTCTAAAGGATACTAGCAGGACTTCCCAGAAGCCAGTCCACTTGTGCTGTCTGTTCCTCCCCTCTCCTGCTTTCCAGTGAAGACAGCAACAGCAGAGATAAGTGTAAAGCTAATGTCTGAGGCCTGGAAATCCTACTTTCAGCAATTTCCTTTGTGTTTCAGTGGAATCTATAGCTGTTGCAAGAGTGTGTGAAGAGCCAGCTCACGACTGTTTAAGTCTGTACTCTTGAGTGCGAATGCCCCATATCTCCTGCACCCCCCAAGAGGAGGATGGGGGCTTGGCTTGCAGAGTGTCATTTGAGGGCCAGCAACTGGCAGGGAACTAACAGAAGTGCTTCCTGATTCATCTTCAGAGCCCCACCTACTGTACTCCATCCTTGAATTGCCAGAGATGCCGAGAGTGGTTCCTTAGCTTAAGCCCAGGGCATGTTTGTACTGTCAAGGTCGCAGACACCACCTGAGATACAGGTGGGGCCCTGCAGCAGGCCCCTCACCCTGCCTCTACCCCATTGCAATCACCTGCTTTACCCCTTACATCTGCTCCTGGCCCCTGGTTTTACTCCAGTTGTGTAGTCTTTCCTGGTCTTACTGAGAAGCCAATAATTTTCTCTAAGCTACTTCTCAGGGCACCTAAACCTGCCACGAAAGCACCAGTGCAGCAAAAGGTAGCTTGGTGAAACTGGTGAGGAGTCCACATTTGCCCCCTCTCACTGGCCGTTAGGAATTTATTTCCAGTTAAACAAGCTGGGCAATGTAATTAAGCGCATGGTTGATGGTGACAGCCAAGTGTGCCTGCCAGAAAAACAATAGATTCTCTAAAGGTGCCAAGGACTGATGTTACGTGTCGTCTGTTGGAAACTGTATACACTTCACAATTCAGAGCCTCCTGTGTGCTGCCTCATATCTTCAATCAAATTATTATATTCCAGAAATATGCATAAGGGAAATGATTGCACACTTTTTATGGTGGGCTGTTGCTTGTAGCAGTAATTGAAGTACCTTTCCACTTATGAAAGTACTAATTTTATTTGTTTTTATTGCTTTTCTAGATGCAATTATTTATTTAGTGTGCTTTGGCTTTATTAAATTATGTTTACTATAGGAACATCATAAAAATGTATGAAAACAACACATCAGCCAAGCCAGCCTGGTGACCTGTATTGAGAGAGCTAGTGTTATTTTTCATATCCAAACGTAATAGAATAACTTAAGAATAAACAGATAATCTACACTAGAAAACAATGCGATTTCAAGGTAATATAATAAAACACCTGGGCAATATGATTTCATAAATCTTGGTTCTAAAATTTACATGAGTTGGGTTTTGCAGGCTTATTTGAGGACACATGGCGTTTCTAAATGGAATCATTATAATGTGAAATGTAATTAAACCGAAAGGCAAGATGTAAAGAGGATTTTTGTTGGCTGGTGAGATATGGACAGCTAAGAATAATGTAACGACTTTTGGTGGCAAAAGACAAGCAGGAGGCTCTCATCCCTATAGATGTCCTTAAGTTTGAAATTTAAAAATGGCCAATTTGTAAAGGTTGTGGGACAACTGCCCCTGACCAGTAGGGTCTGGCTGGAAGGAGATCCTCACATACGCTCCGTGTCTCTGGCTCTATGTCCTATTAAGACCATCTCGAAAGAAAAGAGGCTTTTTGCTTTTGGCATTCTTTTTAAGAAACTGTAATTGAATGTAAGTGGTTTACTTGTCCTAAATTTTGGCAAGATAACCAAGGTATAAGCACAAAAAAGCAAAAATCAAAATAAAACAAGAACACAACCACACACAGAAAACAAAAAAGGCAAAAGCAGGGCTGCTTCAGTGAAAGTCACATGTCTTTGATGACTATAAATTAGTGACTGACTTTTATTTTTCTAATTATGAATTAAAATTAATTAATGTGTCGTTTAAATACGTGTGCCTACTACAAAATTCAAAAGGTAACAACAAATGTGTACAAGAAAGGGTGACTCTCCCTCCGGCCAACCAGTTTACTTCGCCGGAAGGAACTATGGATACCAGGTTCTTGATTTTCTAAGCAGGTTCCAGGGGTTTTCTGAGCATATAAAATATATACACACATATTTACTCCTGTACACATATTTACACGAATGTGTGTACAACATGCAGCACACATGTAGCTCCGTCATTCCTCCCAAGGACTGCACCGTATACTCCGTTGTATGAATGCACCAGGCTCCTCTGATGTCCATTTAAGTATTTCTAGTTTTTTACTTGTGCCAAGAAACACTTCCACCAAGACTATACAAGAAGTCCTGTTTCTTTCTGTTTCTTTTGGAACGTTTTTTTGATGTTTGTCAACTTGAAAGACAAAAACTGATGTCCAAGTGTGATTTTAAATCATGATTCCTTTATTATGAGAGAGCTTGAGTCTCATGTCAGGTGTGTGAGAGCCTTTGTGTCTCCTTTCCTGTGAACTATCTGGTCCTGTCTGTTGGTCTTTGCTTCATTTTCTAATGGATTGTTGGCCAATATCTTTGCTGAATTGTAAGGCCCTTTGATATGAGTTGCAAATATTTTCACCACATTTTCAATTGTCCTTTGACTTTATTTAGAGAATATTTTGCCATGTCTAGCATGAAAATGTACATATCTTTTTTGTTGCTCCTAGATTTTGTATCATACTTTAAAATACCTTCCATATGCTGATATTATTTTTTAAAAATTTCCCCACATGTTCTTCTAGAACTTTCGTGTGTTTATTTTCCACATTAGAATTTTTAATTCATCCGGAATTTGTCTCGTGTAAAGAATGATAATAGGGATATGATTTTTTTTTCAAAAAGCTACCCAAGTATCCCAACATTTATTGAAAAATAATATTTGGGTTAATTTCTGGACTGTCTCATCAGTCCCATTGACATATATGTCTATTAATTTGCCAGTACCATAGTATTTTAATTATTGCAGCTTTATATTTTTAATATCTCTAGAATTGAATCACCAGTTATGCTTTATTTCAATAATGTTCCTTAATCATGGTAAGAAAATATATACCTATGACTACATTATTCAAAATGTTTTTAACAAAATTTTTTTTTAATTTTATTAAATGCTTTTTCAGCATCTATAGAGATAACCTTAGTGGTTTTTCTTATCTGTTGTGAATTATATTAATAGATTTTTCTAATATTGAACCATCTTTGCATTCTTGGAATAAAATCAGCTTGAACATGATTATCTGTCTTTTAATGTGCTTCTTCATTCTCTCAGAGTAAATTTGATTTAAAATTTATGTTAATAAATGAGATTGTTCTGAAATATATGAAAATTTTCTTCTCTTTTAAGGCTCTGGATCAGTTTAATTACATTGAAATTATCTGTTCCTTAAAGGAATTTCTTTTAGAAATTCTCCTATAAAACTGCCTGGGCCTGGTGTTTTTGAGAGAGAGCTCTTTGACAATATTTTCTTTCTTTTTCTTCCTCTCTCCCTCCCTTCCTTCCTTCCTTCCTTCCTTCTCTTTTTCTTTCTTTTTTTTTTTTTTTGGATGATAATTAGTACATTCACATTTTCTGGAGTTAATCTTTATAATTTGTATTTTTCTGGAACATTACTCGTTTTATCCTGTATTTCAAAATTTTTTTCAATAAGTTGAGCAAGGTATTTTTTTTAATTTTAAAAATTACATTAATTTACATTATATCCCCTTTCTCATTTCCTATTGTATTCATTTATGCTTTTTTCTTTTTATTTTGATTAATTTATTTTCAGTTTCTTTTATTGGTGTTTTCCAAGCGTAAGCTTTTAGATATTTTTATTAATTCTACTGTTTTTCTCTTTTCTGATTCATACAGTCTGGTTTTAATTGTATTGGTTCTTCCTTCTGCTTTTCTTTCATTTATTTTGTTCTTTTTCTAACTCGTTTAGCTGGATGCTTGATCCATTTAATTCATATTGTTTAATATAAACATTTAAAGCTATAATTTTTCTCTGAGTACTGCATTCTTTATGTTTTCACAAGTAGTATTTTTTTATCATTATTTTCAAGATATTTTGAAATTTTAGTTTTATATAGGTTAAGTCATTTAAGAAAATTTCTAGATGGTGGCATTCTAGTTTTGTTATTAATTTCTAGGATTTTTTCTTTCTGTCTCTACTTTTATTTTTTACTTTTATCAGAGAGTGTTAGTTACATTATTTTTACTTTTCAGAATTAAAGTTTACTTTGTGGCCTAACATTTAATCATATTTTGTTAGTGTTCTCTGTCAACTTGAAAATAAATCGTAGTGCTTCTTTGCAGGGTGTAGTGTTCTGTATAAGACAATGAGATCTATCTTATTTGTGTGATTTAGGTTTTATATATCCTTTTAAACATTTTGCCCATTTGTTCCCCTTTGAATCTCCAAATGTTATGAAAATGCATGCCTGATGAATGAATGTGTGATGTAGAACTCTCTGTGGTCACCTAGAATTGTGTTGTGTTTTGTCTTATAGCCGAAGATTGCTGAGGAAAACTTGACCTATGCCGAGCTGGAGCTGATCAAACCCCACCAGGCTGCCAAAGGCGTCCCCACCAGCACTGTCTATGCCCAGATCCTCTTTGAGGAGAACAAACTGTAATGCTGCGCCCTCTTCCGCGGTCCTATTTAATACCTGTCACCCCAGTTATTTATGAAACCTTGGAAACAAAGTCCTTATTTTTGTATTTTCACTTGTACCTTCTATGTGGTGGGGAGCCCCTTTGCTACGGCATTCCAGGTGCCTTCAGAGAGGTACGAGGCTCCTCTCCACAAAGAGTAGGGGCCACACCCTTGGACAAATCTCCCAGGACAAGATTTTTCTGGGTCTGCGCCCTGAGGGGTGAGGACTCTGATTCTGAGAGCACCTAAGGAGATTTTCTGCTGAGCCAAACCCCTTCACATTCTTCTTTCTCTGGGTTTTTATATTTTTCGAATCTTTTTTAAATCTTGATTTTAATCTTCTATTCCTCCTGTATCCGTGATATCAAGCTCATAGTATATAGCTAGAGGAAATGCCATTATAGGCCAAAGTGTGAGCTGGTAGATATGTAATAATTGGTTTTCAAAGAATCAGGCAACATTGCTGGGGCACCCAGAGCACAGCAAACTGCTTATTGCAAGCAGTCATTTAAGATAGTGTCTCTTATTTTAAATAGTGCACCAACTCTGGTGATTTAAGGGCAGAGTCCAAGTTGTGGGGAAGTCTGAGGTCTAAGCTGACAGTGAGCTGTCTCTGAATCCCCTGGTACCTGTTTCCCTACCCATGGCCACCCAGGGGTGCAGAACAAGTAAAACATCATTCTAAACGGCCTCCACCCCTTGAACGTGAGTATCTATACTGGTATAGAACTTATATTCTCCAAGAAGTTCTCACGCACCTTTTTCCAAAGGAGCAGGAGAGTTTGCCATCATTTGACACACTGGAGAAAGCAGACCTCTTGGAAGTGTGCCAAGGTTACCAACTCTAATTGAATGTGCATTCATGTGAGAGCAAAGTCTTCTGCCTGGTTCCCCCAGGGTAGGAGAGTAGGAAGTACAAGCCGAGCTGGAAAAGGCTATCCTGAACACCCCACTGTTACAGAGTGTCTCGCTCGCTCAACTCAACTTTGCATGTGAATTCTGCTAGCTTTGGGTGGGGGTCAGGCCGGGATGTGTGGCGTGTAAATCCATGAGGAAGTTGCCCTGTGGACCGGTTGTGACATGCAGCATCTCACTGAAGACGGGTCCATTCTGGAAGAGAGCCATCCTGTCAACTGTGTTGTTAAGGACACATGATGTGTGCGTGTGCTCTGGGCGGTTATTTGCTGCACGCTTACAGAGGTAGTTTGGCTTTGTAATGGACCATGTATATATGGTAAATGATATATTGTAAACCCAACCTTGAGTGTGAGTTGTGCCCCTCTGTATAGCCATGTGAACTTGATCAAGTTTCTTATCCCCTAATTGTCTCAGCTCCATGTTTGTGTAAAGATGACATAACCTCTCATAGAATTCTCGTAATGGGATAATGACATTGCAAGTTTCTAGACACTATAAATTGCTACGCCCATACACAGTGTTAATATTCATGCTAAAGCCAGTCCACATTTTCAAAATAAAAATGTCTTTACTGTTTAAGGCTCTCATTGCAATAACTTTAAAAAGTACATATTTGTCTGTGAACTTAGCTCTGCAGTAACACTCGCAAAGAGCCACGATAGCTTCTGAATGCTTCTCGTGGTTTACTGGAAATGGCCCAAATTGGGAGCAGGTAGTAATTTTCCAGAAGCAGAAATAGCCTGACTTTACAAAGAGGAAGTCATTCTCTCCGGCCTTCACCTGCATCTCATTCCCTCCCTCTCTGCCACGTTTCAAAGATAGTGAATAAACCACACAGCTTTTGAGGAAGAAGAACTTCTGGAAGAACCCCCTGGAACTTCCCAGAGTATCTCTTTAGGAGAAGAAAATATATGGTTAGCACACCATCCATATCTTAATTATCACAGGCATCGTATCATATTGCATCATGGTGATGTTCCAACAGAACATGGCTGGATGGTGTGAGGAAGGAGGGTGATTTCCTGATTTGCACGAAGAGCCTATGGGCTAGTGAGGCCCTGGGGGTGGGAGCGGAGAGTGGGGCAGGTGAAGAGGAGATGGTGGGAGAGGGCAATAGGGTAGGAGGCCCCCGGGCCTCTGGAGAACGAAATTGAACTTTAATCCCTCCCAAGCCCACCCCCTTAAATTCAGTGGGAGCTTAGGGCCATCACATATGGAAATGAGTGTATTCCACAAAAAAGAGCCAAGCTTCTAAGAGCTGGTGGCTGTAAGTTAGTCTAACAAGTCAAGTCATTGTTATAGATTCAATTCAGACTCTTTCTCCAAAACTCTGGTCATAGCGCCATAAATCTATGCTAAGGTGTGTGAGTAGGGGACCCACTGACACAGAGTATAACAGGAGGCTGCAAGACCATCATTCCTGCTGAAAATGCCTCCCAAGGGGATCGTGAAGCTACTGGCAGGGAATCATTGCAGGAAGCAAGGAGGTGAAAAGGGATATCCACCTGAATGAAACTGTCTTGCCAAGTCAAAGCCCCAGGCCCTGAGCTAAAGCAGCTGTAGTGGGAGGAAGGGTTGGGCTCTTCATATTTTTAGTGTGCAGTCATCTGGTCATCCCACATATCAATAAGCCCAAAGACTCACTTGGGATAGGAACGCTAAACCAGTTGATGGTTTTAGGGACTATTCATGGCCCTGTTCATCACTCAGCCCCTGACGTGCATGACTACAGCCTTCGCTGGGCCAACAATGGGGCACATGCTCCAGGCACAAAACATGGGCCAAAGCAGGTGTGAGGCCCGGTCTGGGATAATCCAAATTCTTGGGAGAAAGAAACCATCTTTCCCTTGAGCAGCCAGGCTGGTATGCCACATACGAGATCTGCCTCCAGCGACGTCTCCTGCCAAGCGGAGAAACATTGGAGAATGAAGGAGTCGCTGAGAGAGGAGCAGGGAGGAGAATGTCCTGGAAGCACAGAATCCCCTCTCCCGGCCCCTAGATTCCCCAGACTCTTCTCTTGCCTTCAGATCTTCTTTTGATTCAATAAACTACCCATTTTCTCACTATCTGAATCCTGGTTTTGCTCAAGCTAGTTAGATTGCAACAGAGAGAATTCTGACTAATATAATATGCTTCAAAGTTGCTTCCCAGCACAGGAAGCACAAGAATTACACTGAGCGTCACTCCCCAAGGAGCCCACTTACATCACGTCCAACAACATTCTTGCAGCCACAAGCCCCTGCTGTGATCTGCACCTTCTTACTGAGTGGCCCTCTCAGGGCTCTGAAAATGCGCTTCTCCATGGAGAGTGACCGCAGGCTTCACGACTGATGCTTTGCTAAAGAGGGACCCTCAGGTTTGGAGTAGGGCCACCAGCAGGCCTGGGGCAGTACTGAGTGGTGCTGGTAGCAGCAGGGGAAGGTCACGAGGTGGAGATTCACATGAGCCATATCACATGAATGTTGGAGGGAGCCTTTCTATGCTGGCTGTAAAGCTGAGCCTGGGCTTCCTCGTAGGACCCGATATCTTTCCAGTGTCCTTGTCACAGGAGACCGGGGTCAAGGGGGTACCCAGCTCTGTGTCTTCTGTAGCCCACTATAAGGTGAGGCAGCCACACGGTAGGGATGTTGACCCCCTCAGCCCACCCCCATCCCGTACACTGGATGTTCACTGGGATGGAAAACAAGAAGTTCGTGATTTGGAGGAGGGGTCTGCCTTCAGGGTGGACATGCTGTGCTCGAGCTACAGTGGCGTGTCCAGAAGGATAGGGTACATTAGTGCTCCCTAAATTAAAAGTGTGCACAGATACCTGGATCTCGTGAAACTGTGGGTCCTGCTGCAGGAAGTCTGGGTGGGGCCTGGGAGTCTGTGGTGAAGAAGCTCCGGGGGAATGCCTGTGCTTCTGATCCCTGGACCACGCTTTGAGTGGCAAAGATGTAAACTGTTTTGAAATGTGGATGTGGAACCCCTAGGCTTGGGGGTGTCCTCAGAATACAGGTCACAGCTGAACCCTGGCGGTGGGCAGAATCCCCAGGGAGAGGCGGCCCAAGGAGGAGGACGATGCCCAGGCCTGAGAGTTCCCCCGCTGGCAGGTCCAGAAGCAGCTGAGGAGCCTGAAGGAACCAGAGAAGCCATCGGAGAAGAAGGAGGGGAGCTGGGAAAGCTGCGTCTGGGAGTTTCTGGAGGGATGACAGGCTCAGCAGCGTGAGCTCCGCAGAGGTCAAGTAGAATCGAGGTGGAGCCTTTGCTCATTCTGAACTGATTGTACATTTCACATTTTTAAAAACAGTTGGTTTTGCTGGGGAAAACAATTCCCCAAGTGCACAAGGCCAACAGACTTTGGCGCTGAGCTGCATCTGCTCTCCTCGGCGTATTTTCCCCAAAGCAAGCAGTGTCTTTCCATAGGGTGGCAATCTGGAGAAGACTCTTAATTAACGCACAGGGTGGGGTGTGAGGGTGGCCACGGTGGTCCTCTGCTCTTTCTGTTGTCATTGATAAAAGATGCCTGCTTTCTAATAAACACAGCTCGATTAGCTGCACACCAATTTAGTGTCTGATTGTTAAATGTTAATATACTGCACCCTATAGTTTTAAATAGAATTAGGGATGTTTACAGCTTTGGTTAAATGCACCTTGTTCTTCCACATTAAACTTTATTACAAGTGTCCTCCATCAGCAAACAGGAGAAAAACTCATTAGTCGCTAGCCTGTGTGGGGGCTGTGGCTGCCGCTGGAGGAACTGCATCCTATTTTCCTTTATTACAGCTCTCTAGCTGGTGGGGCCGTGGGATGGGATTGCTCCCTATTTATGACTATGATTAGAACCTCAGACTCCCGGGTCTACAGGTGGATCTTGGGGAATCCACGGATACTCAGGGATTGTTATGCAGAAGTTTGTGTTGTGTGTGTGAGGGTCTGATACTCTCTTCAGTTTTCTAAACGGGTCCATGAGCCACAAAAGATGGAACCATTGGAGACTCCCTGCCAGAGTCCCGACCGCAGGGTCCCCGAGAAGCGTCATGAGGAAGCCTGTCACTTTCCAGCTCTGGAAACCAAGGAGATGGGAAGGGACCTTCTAGTGGTGGCAGAACCCAGCTGGAACCGGGTTCTTGACTGCCAGCCTGGTGACCCCCTATGCGTCCCAGCCCTAACCCCCAGCCCCACCACCAAGCTCTGGCTCGTGGAAGCCTACCTGCTCCCACGCTTCTTCTCCTGGCTGGGTGAACCTGGCCTCTTGGGGGGCTGGGCTTTGGCCTGGGTGAGGGTTAGGACTGCCCAGTCTTCCGCCTTGCAGGAACTCCTCCGTCCCTGTCCCTCCGCAGCCTCCTGCGAGGCCTCGCTTCTCAGGGGCCCCTAGTTCTGAGTGCCCTGAGACTGCTCCCAGCCTGTCTCATGGTCAATTTGACATGCTTGAAAATGTCTCGTTCTGCTCCCACTCCTCATTCTTCTACCTCTTCTGGACGTGTCCTGGTTTCTGGGCATCTCCTTCAATAGGTATCCCCTCTCTTTTTTGTATCTTCAGCAGAAACCTGGGTCTCTGAAGTGACAAGCATTTCTCCACCTGGGCAGACTACCTCTCAAGCTGTCTTCTCCTGTCCTTCCTCCACACCCAGGAGTCTATGCTCCCTACACTGTCCCTCTCACTTCTCACCCTCTGCTGGCTGCCTTCATCCCCATCCTCGAACTCAGCTCTGCTCAAGGCCGTCGGGGATCGTTGCTGAGCGTGTGTCCTACAGCCGAAAATGTCTTCTTATTCTCTGCTCCATTCAACACAGGTGTCCTTTCCCTTTCTGAAACCGACCCCCTGATTTTTGTGACACCACTCACCTAGGTATGCTTCTGGGGCCACTACATTGTCACCTTTCCTCCACTCAGCCCTTCAGTGACAGTTTTCTATAAGTTTCCATCCT